CCCCGCCTCTGGACACGCTCCAGCCCCTCGACGTCCTTCTTGTAGTGAGGGGCCCAAAACTGAACACGGCATTCGAGGGGCGGCCTCCCCAGTGCCGAGTACGGGGGCACGGTCGCTTCCCTAAGAAGCTTCCTCGGACCTCGTGATGCCGCTGGGCAGGGGCAAGGATGCTGCGGGGACACGCCGGGGTGCCCAGATGCGCTCGCGATGTCCCGTCCCACCTTTCGGTCGTCCCTGTACTCCCACGTGCTGGCGTTCCTTCCTCCTCCTCCCCGCCCCGCTGAAAAATATTTCTGTGTCTGGTTTAACCAAAGAGTCGGGTTCAAGCTGCAGAGAACCATCTCCCGCTCTTGGGAAGCAGTCCCTGCCTTTGCCCCGGAGCCGTGCCCTCTCCCTGCCTGCACGCAGGCAGGGCCTGTTTGGGAACCTCGCTCGGGTTGTGTTTCGCCGACCGCGCTCCCTACGCCGCCTTCCCCCTCCTGAGCCTGTCTCCTCTTGCCTTTCAGGGACAGCCTTGGTCCTCGCCAGGCTGCCCTTGGAGAAGATAGCAGAATGCCTCAGCGAACTCTGTGCCGTACAAGTGATGGCGCTGAAGAAGGTACGTGCCGGTCGGAGCTGCGTTGACGCGCTCCTTGTCTGTCGCTGGTTTGGATGGGAGAGATCGGAGGCTGTCAAGCTGCCGTGGCTCCGTCTTTGCCCGGTGGCTTGACCTGCTGCGGTAATTGTGTGTCCTCGAAGCCAGAGGTGTATGAGGAGGCCGGGACCGAGACCGTACATGTCCCTGAGCCTCTCCCGGCTGAGAAATACCTAGCTGGTAGAGCGCGTAATGGGTTAAACGGGAAGATAAACGGTCCCCAGAAATCAGTTTATGTGCCAGGAGCCAAAGAGAACCCACCTCGGACGCAGCAGGCAGCTTTCACCCCGCGTCTCCGGGATGGAGAACGTGGGAACTCGACTCCCCCGTGGGGCACCTGGCCCCACAAGGTCACGTTCTGGCTGTCCCAAAAACGCGGTGGCCCTGGCGACCTTTCCGCGCAGATCCAGGATAACGGAGAGCAGAAACCTCAGAGGGTGGCAGGAAGAGGGAGGGAAGCCTCAAGAAAGGGACGTGCACGTCCTCTGTCTCTTCGGGGTGACCCGTAGCTGCGCAGGAGCGGTTCTTGAGAGCTCCTCCTGCCCACGCTGCTCCGAGCAGCTCTCGCCCGTTGGCAGGCTTCTCTTCCGCCTCCGACCCCGCTCCCTTCTCCTTCGGAGACCCCTTTGAGTAGGCTCTGAACGCGGAGGGGGCAAAAAGAGAAGCCGCTCTGAGCTTTCGGAGTGACCTACGGGCGCGTGGCCGAGGCTAGGAGCTGCCTAGGTCCTAGGCAAGGTTTGAGGAGATGTCTGCTCTCCTTTGGCCTGAAGGGGATGTGAAGGTGCTGCTGGTGGGGTCTGGTGTCCAGGCAGCGTTCGTTCAGTCTTCACTGGGAACGGGGCTGCCTGCGGTCCCGAAATCCCATCGTTTTCCCTTGTTTTCTAGCTGCTCTCTCAGGAGCCAAGCAATGGCCTCTCCTCAGACCCTACTGTGCCCCTGGATCGACTCGCTGTCATATTTAGGTAAGGAAGGGGGGGGACTGGGACAGCCTGTGCAGGGGGTTCGCGAGCACCTGAGTCAAAGCTGCTCACCCAGAGGCTTTAAACCCAATCAGTGATGGCTCGTTTCCCCCCGGCCCCAAGAGGAACGGCCTGGAAGCTGCTGCTTCACCAAGCTCAAGGCTCCCCGGCCCCTCTAAGCCGGTTTCGGGTCCCCTTCCCGCGGCCTGGGCGGGTGCTTGAGGCTCCGGCCCGTTTTCTTGGCTTTAAAGGACAAAACCCGGCTGCTCAGAAAAAATACCGTTAACCCTTGGCTGCTTTTCACAGACACACCAACCCCATTGTAGAAAATGGACAGATCCATCCGTGCCAAAAAGTCATTCAGGAAGTACGTGCCGGATTCGGGGAAGGAATTTCTTTGGGGGGGGGGGGGGGGGGGTGGGGGGGGGGGTGGGCCGGGGG